CATCCTGGCGTGAAAAGGTTAGGGCTGTAGAATGTTGCTCATTGTGTCAATTTGAGAAGTTTAGAAGTTCAACTAAGTGATTTAGCAGGAGGTCAGGGTCCCTCCCTTGTGAACATCCTCACCTTGTAGAAGAGGAGGGAACAGAGATGGTGTAGGAGTGGCCCGATAGCCCGTACCCTATATAAAGAAGGAAAAGAGCCTTGCTTCTCCCCCTTTCTGTTCTGTCTTCTGCTCCCTTGAAGTGTTGCCCCTGTGCCATGCCACTTTACCTTGGAGCCAGATGATTATAGACCGAAACCTCCACAAACTGTGAGCTAGATAAACCTTTCAAAAGCTTCCTTAATTTTGGGCATTGGGTATTTTGTCTCAGCAAGGAGAGAAAAGTAACCAAGACAGAGAGGTTCTTTAAATTGCCTTGGCTAGCTTTGAATTTATGATCCTCCTGCCTCAGTCCCCTGGAGTGCTGGGATCACAAGTGTGTCTGGCTGCCTCATACTTACCTGACCATTCTCTTTACTTGGTGAAAACACTGGCTGAATATAAAACTGGTCTTGCCAAGGACACCATAAAACTCAATGCTTCTAAATCTGGGCTCTTATGGCTTTCTGTGGACTAAATTTATATTGATGATGTCCTCATCTCCACATGTGTTTAAGAGAAGTCTGCAGAGCTCTTGGCTCCTACGCTGCTGTCCCATTACTGCACAAGCACCTGAGGCCACAAGGAGAAGCCTGCTTTCCCTGGGCTTGTTTCCACTCCGATTTCCTCCTGATCTCAGCAAGTGCGATCACCATGGATGCAGCAAGTTGCTCCAGCAGGAAACTCCGATCTTTGTCCACTCACTTTTCTCTCTCCCTATACCACCTACCCGGTGACCCCAGGGGTCTCTATGGGTCACTCTCCAGGAACACCTTCCTAGTGGCCTCTCCTCATCACTCCTCCTACAAGACAGCAAGAATTATCTTAAACTCTATATTGCTTCAGATCAGGGGAGGTAGGAGGGAGAAAGGGGACATAAAAATAATTAAGGTGTGTTAGGCACATGTAAGACTGCCTCACAATGAACGTAATCATTATGTATTGCAAATATACTACTTTTAAAAAAGAATTTAAAAAATAAGTTGCTTCATTCAGCATTTATTCAGAAAATATTATCGAGGACTTTTTTTTTTTTAAAAAACAGTTCCTGGCATTGGGGAAACATCACTAAACCAATATATACAGGAAAATTCCTGCCCTGAGGAAACGTGCATCCGAGGGGGATGGGTAAACAATAAACAAGATATAGTCTTTGAGAGCTGGGCGTGGTTGCGCACACCTGTGATCCCAGCACTTAGGATGCTGAGGCGGAAGGCTAGCCATGAGTTCAGGGCCAGCCTGGGCTACATAGTGAGACCCTGTCTCAAAAATAAATAAAAAAAAAAGAATAGTATTGAGTGTTGTGTTGAAGTGTGTTACACATAGAAGACTAAAGAAAAATGAAAGCCAGGTGTGGTGGTACACGCTTATAATCCCAGTACTCTTGGGAGACTGAGACAGGAAACTTGCCATGAGTTTGA